GGGATTATCGGAGTGATGGTACAGGTCGCTTGGCAGGTCCTTATAATTTTCATCCCTGTTGTCGCTGCATGTGCCTGGTACCGGGTAATCTTCATAATCCATGTCTCAACTCAACATGTAGTTTCTTACTTGTTAATTTGAAACATATGAATGTTATTTTGGTTCTCACTCTTACAGTCTTATTTGATTTAATCTATGTACACAGCAATATTACATATCTGCAGCTCGAGAACTCGCAAGATTAGCTGGAATAAGCAGGTCTCCTATGGTACATCATTTTTCTGAAACACTTTCAGGGATAACAACTATCAGGAGTTTTGATCAAGAACCAAGATTCCGTGGTGACATCATGAGACTTAGTGATTGTTATTCTCGGCTGAGGTTCCATTCAACCGGTGTAATGGAATGGCTCTGCTTCCGCCTTGATCTATTATCCACTATCGCATTCGCTTGTTCACTGGTTATCTTAGTTTCTGCCCCTGAAGGAGTCATTAATCCAAGTAAGTGACCACTCTTATAATTATTAATTTTGTTTTGGTTTGGATTCACGACTTAAAATCTACCACGCCTTTTTCGGTATCCTGCTTTGTAAAGGCTTTGCAGGACTGGCGGTTACATACGCACTCAATCTAAATAGCCTGCAATCCACTTTAGTATGGACGTTATGTGATCTCGAGAATAAAATGATATCTGTAGAGAGAATGCTTCAATACATAAACATCCCAAGTGAACCACCTCTCGTGATTGAATCAACTCGGCCTGAGAAATCATGGCCTTCTCGTGGAGAGATTACTATCTGTAATCTGCAGGTGCGATATGGGCCGCATTTGCCTATGGTGCTTCATGGACTGACATGCAATTTTCCAGGAGGTCTAAAAACTGGAATCGTTGGAAGAACTGGATGTGGCAAATCCACTCTAATTCAGACCCTTTTTAGGATTGTGGAACCCGCAGCTGGAGAAATCAGGATAGATGGAATAAACATCTTGACCATTGGGCTGCATGATCTGCGTTCCAGACTAAGTATCATACCTCAAGATCCAACCATGTTTGAAGGCACGGTTCGTAGTAACTTGGACCCTCTTGAGGAATACGCTGATGACCAGATCTGGGAGGTTCGTTTGCTCTTTTTTCTTTCAGTGTTTCTGCAGATAGGAAACGGAAGTTTCTCACACAATTTTATTGTTCTCTTTTCAGGCACTTGACAGGTGTCAACTTGGGGATGAAGTAAGGAAGAAAGAACTAAAGCTAGATTCCCCTGGTTAGTATTTATACAACTATTGTTGAGAGGGGTCATCTTGAATCCTTTTAACACATATAATGAAAGGAATATCTTATATTTCAGTTAGTGAGAATGGACAGAACTGGAGTGTTGGTCAGAGACAACTGGTGTGCCTGGGGCGAGTCTTGCTCAAGAGAAGCAAAGTATTGGTTCTTGATGAAGCCACTGCTTCTATTGATACCGCTACTGATAATCTGATCCAGGAGACTTTGAGGCAACACTTTTCGGATTGTACAGTGATAACAATCGCACACAGGATATCTTCTGTTATAGACAGCGATATGGTCCTGCTCCTAGACCAAGGTCGTGACATTGATTATACACTTCACATGTATGTAGAATTTTATAATCAGAAGAATAGTAATAAAAATCTTTTATAATTGCAGGTCTGATCAAAGAACATGATTCACCGGCGAGATTGCTTGAAGACAGGTCGTCATTATTCTCAAAGATTGTGGCGGAGTACACAGCGAAATCAGAATCCAGATCCAGAAGAAGCTGTTAGAAGCATAAAAATGGGACCAAAACAAGTTGGTTTATCGTCTTGCCTTTGTCGTGTTTTCTATTTAATTTGTGAGCAGACGTTTGTGCGCGACCTTTGAAGCTGTTGAAACTTCCATGAAAGTGGCATAAAATAAAAGTAGCAAAAATGAAAGTTTGGGATAAAGACTCGTTAAAAGATTAGAAAAAGTAGACTTGGACTTTTTTATAGACCCAGTGGAGACATGACCACATACATACATCCACACAAGGCTCCACATCTGGTCATAGACTAAAACGGCTAATGGAATAAAAAGCATGATTATTAATATAATGAGATGTGAGAGTAATGTTGTTGGGACAGGCATTGACTGACAAGAAGAACAGAGACTTATCACTTGCTTGCAGCCCAATCTTCTAGGAATCTTGTTGATTTTTCTTCCCAAGAATTTTGTGCACTCTGAGACAATTTCCCAAATAGTTTTCATTTACCCAAAAGAAAAAAATCTTAACCCAAAAAATATGATAGTTTAGTTGTTGGGGGTATGCGCTGTGAACTTGTGATTAATTATGTTAGAGAAATGTTAATTGATTCCCCCTTTTTTGTTTTTTTTTTTTGTCATTGTGTGTGTGTGTTGAATTTCACATATATAAAGATGAATTAAAATTTGGTTTGGTTTGATGCCAGCTTTGCACTTTGCTTCCCTAGTCTCTCTGTAAAAGTAAACTCAAAATACTTAGGAGAGGCGTAGAAGAAAAATGTATACATACACTACGTAGTAGTATGTGTGTACTAAAGGAAAAAGAAAAACACAAGAGTTCTATTTTGTTTTCTCTCTTAAAAGATCTATATATAATAGCAAACCCACTTTTTGTTTACTGCTCATGTCATCTTTTGAATGTAACGGTTTATATTGATTTTCATTTGATCTAAAGGTTACTGTTTAATCTCAGAATATATAAAAGCAAAAATGTGTCTTTTTAAAAGGATGTGTTTTTTAAAAAGGATGCATCTTTTAATAAAAACCCCTGTAATTTAATCAATGCAATGTTTCACAGTCACACCCTTTCGTTCTATGTATAAATATTCTACAGCTTTTTGTTTTTATTAAAAAAAACTATTGATTGTTTTGTTTTATTTCATTTTAAAAAGTTATTTTCTTGAAACAATTGTTTCTTCAAATTTTGTTTTTCCAATCCTATTTGACTTTAAATTTGCTTAGCCATTATCATCTAAAGGTAATAATGGTTATTACCTCTTTGTTAATTAGTTGCTCAAACCCACTTTCTATTGTTGCTGGGATCATCGTTTTAATCTAACGGATGAGATTGTTTCCGTTATCTCATCTAACTATTTATATTTGTTAATGATCCAAAAAATTGCAAAGTTTTATACCCAAAAATTGTGTTTATTCATTGTACCCCTAGCTTAAAAATTTCGCACCTGCTATTTTCTCACACCTCTTTGTTTGTATATATAGATTTCCGTGGACCTTGAAAATAGATTTTGTTTCTCTGAGTACTGTTTCACACCTCCGAAATTTTAAAAATCTAAATACTGTTTTTCCGATTTATTAGTCTTCATTGATTGACCATCTTCGTTTAAATATGACTGTTTTATTTATTGATTTCCTTATCATCTTATACATGCATTGATCATATCTTCGATGTATTAATCTAGGTAACTAATTTTGACTATCAACCTACTTCTCTTATTACTTTTTTTTGGGTAAATTTGAATAGAATAATGATTTGAAATTTTTTTTATGTGAATACCTTTCATATATCTTGTTAACATTGCTCTCTTCTTGTCACTGAATTGATTTCTGTATTTGCAATAAAATTATTAATTGATCAATTTAACGTCAAAAAAGTATAAAAACTCATATAAACTGTAGTAACATGGCCATAGATTTACACTCAAACATCATCTGGTTTGTTTTGTTTCATCTTCCTCATTTTATTTTATATTTTGATAAGCGTTTAAACTTATAATTTCTACTCCCTGTTTTATTGTTTGATTAGTGACTTCACTAAATTTTTATTGTTTAATTATACTTCTAAATTTCTACAAGTACAAATCATTGTTTCAAATTGTTATGTTTTATTTATTTATTATTTTTAATTATAGGTTGGTGTTTTGATACAACAATATTCATTGGTATTTATAGTTGAATTCTATCTGTAGATACAATTGGATATGATTCTAATATATATTGGGATTTGTGAAATGTAATTTGCAGCAAGATCGCCCTTAAATTTATAGCTCATGTTTTGATAAAAGCATAAGGTTGATATAACATAAGCATACAAGAATAAGAAGTTGTTTCATGTTGATCTTTGTCCTATGAAAAGTCGTGCCATATGTAGATGCCTCACCAAAACACCAAGTATATGTTCTTTTAAATCTAATTGACAATAATTTGTCATTGTAAATTTTTTTTCTTAAATTGAAGCACATTCTTTCTCATTGATGTTTCTTTAGGCATTGTTTATGGTCCTATAATGTTATGTTGAATTTGGTTGAATCTATAAAGTTGTCTCATTAGTTTGATGGGACTAATGATTCGTTGGTGTTGGAAACATGTAATATGATAGAAATAGTTGAGTTTTCTATCCAAAAAGTTTGTTAGATTTTGTAAAAGGAAAATGCATGAATCTTTGATATTCTTTTAAGGGCAGTAGCTATAAGTTAATTTCATAATTGTGTTGACAGTTTTGTTTTTTAAATAAAGCAAAAGAAAGGGCATGTTAAGAGTAACAAATGGCCGTTCATAAATGTTGAATTCTTTTGACTCTTTAGGATCATCAATATTAAAATGCAGTGATACCAACTGAAAAATAACATTCGAGGGATAAAGATAAAATTGTAAAAAAGTTTTCTCAGTCTCACAAATCTAATATATCATAATATAAAAAAAGTTATTTAACAATCAATTTTCCACTCGAAAACGTTATTTAACAATGTTAATTATTTTAAGTTTTCGTTTTCCCGTGCGTTGTGATAGCCCTAGTTAGTATCAATGGCAAACAATTCAGCTCATCTTAAGGTAGGAAAATAAACAATGGTACAAAAATAGATAAGATATAAAACGAAGAATATCCTCTTTTTTTTGGGCTAAAATACAGTAATATTATTTGTGATTTTTCCAACATTTGACAATTATTATTTTATAAAAGAACCCGTGAAAGTAATAAATGAAAAAGGAAATTGTGAAAGACCCCAAAGTGCTCTGGTGGGGTTTGAGAAGAGAGAAGAGGAGAGTTGTCATCTTTCTTCTTCTTCCTCTTGGCTTCGTAGAGCGTGCTCTCCAAGGGATACTGTCTACATCGTTACTCCACTCTCCTTCTATAAGTAGTTCTCCTCCTCAGACATCCAATTATTTATTACTTTCTCAAATCAAATCATTGGAGAACAGAGAGAACTCAGAGAAGTGAGATAACAAAAAAATAAGGAGAGAACAAAGTGCAAAAAAAAGCCATGGACTTTCTCGGTTCCACGACCGGTGACGGTATGTTAGCAATGTTGTTCTCGTTTTCGGAATCTATTTTACCTCCTGATTCCACGTCTTTTCTTCTCAAACCCCTTTTCCTTAGATGTGTCTCTGGTTTCTTACATGCCGTTTTGTTGCTGGTCCTGTTTTGCTCATGGGTCCGTAGTAAAATTAGGGGAACTAACGGTTTCGATGTCACGGAGAGCTTGAAAGATAGGAAGGGTTTTGGGTTTAAGTCTACTCTGTTTTGTAGTTTAGCCTTGTCTCTGCTTAATCTCGTGTTGATGTCGTTGAGTGGTTTCTATTGGTACGAGAGTGGTTGGTCAGATCATGGCCAGCTAGTTTCTTCCCTCGGGTTTCTACTGGGAGTGGTTTCTTGGGTGGTTTTGTCGATTTGTTTGCATCGCTACAGGGATTATGAGCATAAAAGAGCTCCCTTTATACTTAGGCTATGGTTGGTTTTCTTTCTCGCGGTTTCTTGTTACTCTCTTGTGGTAGACTTTATTCTGTACAAGAGACATGAAACTGTATCTGGTCACATCCTAGCGTACGATATACTTGCTTTTAGTGCTTCTTTGTTTCTCGGTTATGTGGCTTTCCTCAAGAAAGATAGAAGCAACAGCAATGGAGTTTTGGAAGAACCTCTACTGAATGGTGGTGATTCTAGTCTTGGTGGCGTAGAGTTAAATAAAACTAATGGGAGTGGTGAGGCTACTCCTTACTCGAGAGCTGGCATTCTCAGTCTTTTGACTTTCTCATGGATGAGTCCATTAATTGACCGTGGAAACAAGAAAATCATTGATCTAGAAGATGTTCCGCAGCTTCATGATAGCGACAGCGTAGTGGGGCTAGCTCCTAAGTTTAGGAGTATGCTTGAATCATCAGATGGGGGCGAGAGAAGTGGCGTTACCACGTTCAAGCTTATTAAAGCGCTGTATTTTTCGGCTCAGTGGGAGATTCTAGTGACAGCATTCTTTGCTTTCATCTACACGGTCGCATCATACGTTGGGCCAGCACTAATTGATACTTTCGTTCAGTACCTTAATGGACGTAGACTGTACAACCATGAAGGGTATGTACTAGTCATTACTTTCTTTCTTGCTAAGCTTGTGGAGTGCCTTTCACAGAGACACTGGTTCTTTAGGCTACAGAAGGTTGGTATTAGGATGAGATCAGCCTTGGTCGCAATGATATACGAAAAGGGTCTGACCCTTTCATGCCAGTCAAAGCAAGGACGCACGAGTGGGGAGATTATCAATTTCATGACTGTGGATGCTGAGAGGATTGGTGATTTTAGTTGGTACATGCATGACCCATGGATGGTTTTGTTACAAGTCGGTCTAGCTCTGTGGATCTTGTATAGAAATCTTGGACTAGCATCAATAGCGGCTTTAGTTGCTACCATTCTAGTTATGCTTGTGAATTTTCCATTTGGGAGAATGCAAGAGAGGTTTCAGGAGAAGTTAATGGAAGCTAAGGATAGCCGGATGAAATCAACATCTGAGATCTTAAGAAACATGAGGATTCTCAAACTTCAGGGGTGGGAAATGAAGTTTCTGTCCAAGATTTTTGATCTTCGGAAATCTGAGGAAGGATGGCTGAAAAAGTATGTGTATAACTCGGCTGTTATAAGCTTTGTTTTCTGGGGGGCTCCTACTATTGTGTCAGTCTGTACTTTTGGTGCTTGTATACTTCTTGGAATTCCCCTTGAATCAGGAAAGATACTCTCCGCGCTTGCAACCTTCAGGATTCTACAAGAGCCGATCTACAATCTTCCTGACACTATCTCCATGCTTGTGCAGACTAAAGTCTCTCTTGATAGGCTTGCATCCTATCTTTGTCTGGACAATTTACAGCCTGACATTGTCGAGAGGCTCCCTAAGGGAAGTTCAGACACGGTGGTCGAAGTGATCAACAGCACTTTATCCTGGGATGTCTCATCAGCTAACCCAACTCTAAAAGACATAAATTTCAAGGTCTTTCCTGGAATGAAGGTTGCAGTTTGTGGTACGGTTGGCTCTGGGAAATCAAGCTTACTTTCATCTTTACTGGGAGAAGTACCCAAGATATCTGGAAGTCTTAAGGTTTGTGGGACAAAAGCGTATGTTGCACAATCTCCTTGGATTCAGAGCGGTAAAATTGAGGACAACATCTTGTTTGGTAAGCCTATGGAAAGAGAACGATATGATAAGGTGCTTGAAGCATGTTCTTTGAGTAAGGATCTGGAGATACTTTCATTTGGTGATCAGACAATTATTGGAGAACGCGGCATCAATTTGAGTGGTGGACAAAAGCAAAGGATACAGATTGCTCGTGCTCTCTACCAAGATGCAGATATCTATCTGTTTGATGATCCTTTTAGTGCTGTGGATGCTCACACAGGGTCACATCTCTTTAAGGTACAATCTTCTGTTTTAGCCATTAGTTTGTTTGTCATTTCTCCTTCTGTAAACCATCAGGTATCATCAAATTGATTTTCATTTTCACACTTCTTTCAGGAAGTCTTGCTCGGGCTTTTGTGTTCTAAATCGGTTATATATGTAACCCATCAAGTTGAGTTCTTACCTGCTGCTGATCTTATACTGGTATGTGAATGGTTTACTGTCTTTATCTTCTTGTATAGAAATTGTACCACTGAGAGTATGAAATCATCCAAAATCGTTTTTCTTATGCCTCAGGTCATGAAAGATGGGAGAATCAGCCAAGCTGGAAAATACAATGATATCCTCAACTCTGGAACTGATTTTATGGAACTTATAGGTGCTCATCAGGAGGCTCTGGCAGTAGTTGGTTCTGTGGATGCCAATTCTGTTTCTGAGAAATCAACTTTAGGTGAAGAAAACGGTGTTGTGGGAGATGCTATCGGATTCGAGGGGAAACAAGAAAGTCAAGATCAGAAGAACGATAAATTAGATTCTGGGGAGCCCCAAAGACAACTTGTTCAAGAGGAAGAGAGGGAGAAAGGTAGCGTCGCTTTGGATATATACTGGAAATATATCACACTAGCATATGGAGGAGCTCTTGTGCCTTTCATATTGTTGGCGCAGAATCTCTTTCAGCTTCTACAGATTGGAAGCAACTACTGGATGGCTTGGGCTACTCCTATTTCTGAGGATGTGCAAGCTCCTGTGAAACTTTCCACGTTAATGATCGTTTATGTAGCTCTGGCCTTTGGAAGTTCCCTCTGCATTCTTGTTAGAGCCACGCTTCTTGTCACTGCTGGTTACAAGACTGCTACTGAACTGTTTCATAAAATGCATCACTGCATTTTCCGTTCTCCGATGTCTTTCTTTGATTCCACTCCGAGCGGAAGAATCATGAGTAGAGTACGTTGCTGTCCACTATAGTTGTTTGAGAATTTCCATATATATATATATATATATATATCTATTTGGTAATCATATTGTTGAACTTTTTCCTTCTATATAGGCTTCTACTGACCAATCCGCAGTGGATTTGGAAATACCGTATCAATTTGGATCAGTTGCTATCACAGTCATTCAGCTTATCGGAATCATTGGAGTAATGTCTCAGGTTTCTTGGCTGGTTTTTCTTGTCTTCATCCCTGTGGTTGCTGCCTCTATATGGTATCAGGTACTTGAATACTTCCAATAATCTTGAAAATCCAGTCCTCCATAAGAGTTGTTGATTCTCTCAAATTTAGCCAAGTTTATTTAAGTGATAAAGTTGTGACAACTTTCTACTTTGCAGCGGTATTACATAGCTGCAGCACGAGAACTTTCGCGGTTAGTTGGAGTATGCAAAGCCCCTCTGATTCAGCATTTTTCAGAAACGATCTCAGGGGCGACAACCATCAGGAGTTTCAGTCAAGAATCTAGATTCCGTTCTGACAACATGAGGCTAAGTGATGGTTACTCTAGACCCAAATTCTATACAGCTGGAGCAATGGAATGGCTTTGCTTTCGCCTTGATATGCTATCATCACTTACATTTGTCTTTTCATTGGTTTTCTTGGTCTCCATACCTACTGGAGTGATTGATCCAAGTCTTGCGGGATTAGCCGTGACTTATGGACTCAGTTTGAATACTTTGCAAGCTTGGCTGATCTGGACTCTGTGTAATCTTGAGAACAAAATCATAGCGGTAGAGAGGATTCTTCAGTATGCAAGTGTTCCCAGTGAACCACCTCTTGTGATAGAATCAAACCGACCTGAGCAATCATGGCCTTCACGTGGTGAAGTTGATATCCGTGATCTTCAGGTATTGATCTATTCCTTGCTCCTAAGATAACGTGCCAGTGTTTTCGCATTTCCATCCTCAAACCATTTGGAAAATTTTGACACATTGTTAGGTCCGATATGCTCCACATATGCCTCTGGTGTTGCGAGGAATAACATGCACATTCAAAGGAGGTTTAAGAACAGGAATTGTTGGAAGGACAGGAAGCGGAAAATCGACATTGATACAAACTCTTTTCCGCATTGTAGAACCTTCAGCTGGAGAAATCAGGATAGATGGAGTGAATATTTTGACCATTGGGTTGCATGACTTGCGTTTAAGACTAAGTATTATACCCCAAGATCCAACCATGTTTGAAGGAACAGTGAGAAGTAACTTGGACCCGCTTGAAGAGTACACAGATGATCAAATCTGGGAGGTGGGTCGCTTTAATTTCTGAAAGCTGCACAGTATTCTTTTTTAAAGTAGTTTAAAAATTGTTCAAATGTTGAGTTTTTCTGCTGTGTTTTAGGCTCTTGACAAGTGCCAACTAGGAGACGAGGTGAGGAAAAAGGACCAAAAGCTCGACTCATCTGTGAGTGAGAATGGAGAGAATTGGAGTATGGGTCAGAGGCAACTAGTGTGTCTCGGGAGAGTTCTTCTCAAGAGAAGCAAAATATTGGTGCTTGATGAAGCCACTGCTTCTGTTGACACTGCAACTGACAATCTGATTCAGAAAACTTTAAGAGAACACTTCTCAGACTGTACAGTGATAACCATTGCACACAGGATATCTTCAGTTATTGACAGCGACATGGTTCTACTTCTAAGCAATGGTTTGTCTGCGAAAAAAAACTCAAATCCATTCTCGTTTTAACATGCGTTCAGATGAATCGTTGAGGTGTATCTTGTTTTGTTTTCATGTGCAGGGATCATTGAGGAGTATGATACGCCAGTGAGACTGTTGGAAGATAAGTCTTCATCTTTCTCTAAACTCGTAGCTGAGTATACCACAAGATCTAGTTCCAGTTTAGAGTAAAGCCAAAAACGGCTATTTCTTGGTGGTGATGATGACGATGAAAAAATTACTTACGAAGTCTGAATCTGGTTCAACTGTTTCACAAGCTGGATCATGATTCACAGGAAGAAACACTTATCTTAGTTTTGATTAGAGCTCTTTTTGATCGTAGCTACTTTATATAGCTTGTAATGTTTGTAACTCGAAAAGACGATGACATCGCTACTTTAAAATTAATGCAATAAACGATGTTCATTCAGAAACGTTTCTCATTATTGATTTGATGAGAGCAATCAAAACCAAAGTGTAGTAGCTTAATTGAAGAGCAAAACCGGGATAGTCTCTATTTCAAATCAAGTTCTCGGGTCTATGAACAAACCGGGCCGGTTTAGCAAGGACTTTTTGCGTGGTTGCCTGGTTGGTGGATGCGACAGGGGTATTAATGTCATTTGACCATATCTGCCACTTGCAGACGAGTTTGGTCTGAGAAAAAAGAAAGAACAAATTTGACGGAGGAAAGGCTGCGCCTTTTTCTCGGCAACATCACCATTTTCGGCTCTTGGCAGCCGGAGGGGTTTCCCCATATCAGCAATGAACCATAGTTCTCTCTCTCAAACTCACCATTTTGTTTTGACTAAACAGATAACAATCCTTTTAGTGTATCAATTTTAGACGCTTCTGAGCATTTGGAGAGAAATTGACTGAATAAAGGAGGAGCCGTCTTATCTTTCTTCATACTTGAGCTCTTCCCACACGTTACATACCGGACGAATTTTTAGCGAGGTTTCTTGCTCGGGGCTTCTGTTTTTGTTTTCTCTAGGTTTTTTCTTTATTATCAGATTCCTTATGACGGGCATGACACTTGAGTTATCTGTTCTGGGTCGATCTGTCATTGACACAAAGGCTTTAAATTTGAAGAGATATGGTCAAAAATCGAAGCTTTCAGGAAGACTTCTTCCGAGAGCTGAGCTTCACTGCCCTGTGGCGTTGTCTTCTTCTAGAAACTCCAATTTGAGTTTTAGATTCCGACGAAGTTGTGAAGTTAGCTACAGAAGTCGCTTGATGTTGTTTAGCTCGAGTCAATGTCACGAGGGTACTCAACAGCATTCAGATTCCGCCGAGAAGGAGCTGGAGTCGATTAAGGTTTTGCTGAAACGTGGAATTGTTGTAGGAGCAGTAGTTTGTGGAGTTTTCTTGTATGGATGCCAAAAAGTTTTAGCATCGGCTGGTGTTGTGGAAGCAGGCTATGAGGTGTTTGGTCAAAGCGTTGTGTTGTTTAAGAACGCTTTGCCTAAAATTTACCAAGTTCTTAAGGTTCTTAGAGAGCAAGGTCTAATATTGGCTGCCCTGCTCAGTCTCTCTGCATTCTTCTCTATGGCAGAAACGTCCATTACCACTTTGTGGCCGTGGAAGGTAAAACCGAAATTCCTTTTCCTTGATAGATTTTGTAGTGTCAATGTTGAAAAAATGTAGCACGCTGTTGGATTGTTTTGGTCTTTATATTCTCTTTTGTTGGAAAACAAACATGATTGTGGAAAAACTAGATTTATTGTTTTACTTATGAAACTTGAATTTTCCATGGGGTTTGGATTTGAGGTTCTTTGGAGGAAGATACCACTGTGAAATGTTATTTCCTGGTTGTTTTTGAGAGCATATTAAGTCTACTGTCTGGTCTTTATTGTTCTAATTTTGGTGTTTGAAATATTGCTGTTTTATATTTGGTTCATCTAGGTGCGTGAGTTGGCTGAGAAAGAGCCAGAGAATGGTGTATTCAGAATGCTCCGGAGTGATGTTACCAGATTCTTGACGACAATACTTATTGGAACAACGTACTACCTTTTTTCTAAATCAGTTTGTCTTTAGAGGATTGTTTGAAATTTTGTCACTTACCTTAGGTCTTGTGGTTGGTCTTAGTGTTGTGAATATTGCGGCAACTGCCCTGGTCACTGAAGCAGCAACAGCTATATTTGGGGAAGCTGGTGTTAGTGCAGCAACTGGATTGATGACAGTAAGTATAATTGTTTCAACATTGTAAACTTTCAAAAAAAAATTCTTTGGTTCACTACGATGACTGTTTTGTTTCTGTGTGGATATTCTTTGATCAGTATTGTTGCTTCCTAAGGATTCTTGAATGACTGTATAGGTGGCTATTTTACTCTTGACTGAGATTACTCCAAAAAGTGTTGCTGTCCACAATGCTCAAGAAGTTGCAAGGCTTGTGGTAAGTTTCAACTAATTGGCATTGGTTCACTTCAAGTAAAATTTATGTGGAATTCCATTGCCTTTGCTCATTGTGACCATTCTGATAAGAAATAGCTTAATTGTTCAAATTTTTCATCTGTGGGTAGTAAAATGGAAGCATGACTTATATTGTCTGACTGTGCTTAGGTCAGGCCAGTGGCGTGGCTTTCCTTAATACTATATCCTGTGGGAAGAATTGTCACATATTTGTCAATGGGAATACTGAAAATTCTTGGTTTGAAAGGACGGAGGTATGCACCAGCCTAGACTTGTTTTAGTATAGCTTATAGTTTTTGGCATGCTTGATAAATATATGTGATTCGGTTTTACTGGATTGTCATGCCTTTCTCCTTGTTAAAAGTTAGCAAATCGTAGTCATAATCTCTTGGCTTCTTTTTTTCTTAGCGAACCATATGTTACTGAAGATGAGTTGAAACTGATGCTACGAGGTGCAGAATTAAGTGGCGCCATTGAAGAAGAGGAGCAGGTATGAGTTTTGTAATATATTAGTTTTGAGTTTAATATCTATTCATTCTTATGTTATCCTAATAATTGCTCTACAGGATATGATTGAAAATGTGCTGGAGATAAAGGATACCCATGTCCGAGAGGTGATGACTCCTCTTGTTGATGTAGTTGCAATTGACGCCAGTGGCAGTCTAGTTGACTTCCATAGTATGTGGGTGACCCATCAGTACTCAAGGTAAAAAAATTCTGAAGCCTTCTTTCGGAAGCCATTTACCTTGGGACCATTCATCACACATGTTTTCTTGCAGGGTGCCTGTTTTTGAGCAGCGTATAGATAACATTGTGGGAATAGCATATGCTATGGATCTCCTAGATTATGTCCAAAAGGTTTGACAGTTTCATTCTCTGTTATTTCCTTCCAGTATTTCTTAGGTTTCTTTCTGTTAGCCATGTGGGTTAGAATGATTGATATTCTGTTGATTTTGAAGGGTGATCTACTAGAAAGTACTTCTGTAGGGGACATGGCGCATAAACCTGCATACTTCGTCCCTGGTAATCATCAGTGTGTTTGCTTTTGGGTTTGATACCTAACCCCTAGGCATTTTATTGCTTCAGATTTTCTTCATTTCAATTAAATTATATTGTTATATTACCGGCATTAAAAACTAATTCTTCACTTTGAATTATTTCACAGAGAAGAACATCTAATGATATATGTTTTACTTTGCAGATTCAATGTCTGTTTGGAATCTTCTTAGAGAATTTCGCATAAGAAAGGTTCACATGGCAGTTGTCCTTAACGAATATGGTGGAACCATTGGAGTATGTGCTGCTCCCCTTTGAGCTCTTCTTTTATACTTTTCTACTCCCTCTTCCACAGTTGGCTAATTTCTATCCTATTAATTTGCTTCTGCAGATAGTAACTCTTGAAGATGTGGTTGAAGAGATTGTTGGTGAAATATTTGATGAAAATGATTCGAAAGTAAATGTCCTAGTTTCAATTCTTATAGAAAATTTTCCTGGACCTGTTGATAAGATTAACCTGTCTTACATATCTAATTTGCCTTTTGCTCATTGGTGAGGCTCTATTCCGTTATTAATTTCTGGCCTGCTTGATTTATTGTCAATAGGAGGAGATTCAGAAGAAAACAGGGTATATTGTCATGAGAGATGAGGGGATATATGATGTTGATGCTAATACATCAATAGACCAGCTATCTGAAGAACTAAATATGAAAATGCCTGAGGTAGTAATTCTAGTAGTGTCTTTGTTACCTCTTTATTGCGTCCTCAAAAGCATTCCTCAGGGTTATCTTTTAAATTGGAAACAGAACAACAATGTCTTTAATATTACTTGTAAAAAGCTTTTGTTTAGACCCTCTGAACATGTTATGTTTCTTTAATAGTTAAACCTGCAATGTTTGTTTTCTTTTGGCAAGCAGGGCATTCAGTACGAGACAGTCTCAGGCTTTGTGTGTGAGGCCTTTGGGTATATCCCGAAAACTGGAGAAAGTGTAAAGGTTGTTCTTGAAAAGGAAAGCTGGGAAGAGGATGGCGAAGAAGAGGAAGGTAAACAGGAGAGGCAAGAGCCAAAGGAAAAGCACCAAATCTATAGAGTAGAGGTATTGAGTGGCTCATTATCTCATTATCATATCTGACACAAATCACCTTCAATGTTTTGAACTAATCAAGGTCTTTTCCCGTGAGCAGATACTAGCAGGAAATGCAAGAAAAGTTAGTGCTGTCCGCTTTGAAAGAGTGAACGATATGGATCAAGTGTCGGAGGCTACAGATGTAAAAAGCATGGTTCCTAAATTTGTAAGGAAATGGAGTAGCGAAGAAGATGATGGGAACTTGTCCAATGAAGAAGACCAACCCGAGAATGCTGTCTTAGATGAACATGTATTGGCTGATAATGGCAAGAAACAACAATGACACTGTGACACGGTTCCATTTTTTTTTAATTAAGCTGCATTTTTCAATTCTTTTTTGAAAAGGAAAGAAGTAAGCTCACAAATACAGGAAGCTTTCTTCTTAGCTTAATGTAATACTCAGGATGAATTAATTAAGAAATTCGTGTTAGGTAATACCTATACAAGAAAAAGAACCCACAAGCAAATCATGAGAAATATGAAATTAGTAATTATGCTACCTTTAAATCTAATTTCTGTTTTCAAACAGATGAGAGATGACTCTGTTTCCGAAAGCAGAGCTTTCTGCCTGAAAAACAGCACTGTTACACAAACTACCTAAGTCACCAGAAGACAAAGCATTAGGTTTTTATTCACATCTTCGAAAACAGAGATGAGAAGCATTGAAAACTTTGTTACCTTTGTCTGATTATTCTTACACAAGGATCAGAACTTCGGATTTTAGTTTGCAGTTTGATTTGTGTGTTGGTTAGATGATGAAATGAAAGTAAGAAAGCATGTTTTATATCTATGTATATTTCTATAACACTACTAATTTTTTCCCCTTTTCTCAATGATTAAAAGATTAATCTAACTGTTAAGACATGATCTGAAACAAAACCCCAAATAATAGAGAATCCTTGTCTTTCTTTGCCTCCACCATTTTTACCACCTATCTCTTCTATACAAACCTGAATCCAATAGCTTTTGAGTTTCCTACTCGAGTTGGATCAGAAGTTACTCAGGTTTTAGTCTCAGTCTCCAAAAGAGTTATTCTTCTTCCTTCATACCTTCAGCGCATAAAAATAACTTGAGGCAGTATTCTACACAAGCCTCTTCAGTGCCTCCACCACATTTGAAACTGGAGGCCGAAGCCCAGGCTCCGTCTGAAAGAAAAGTAATAATAATCCAACTCTCACAAACCTTGAACTTAAAACTTCTGAATGGACAAAGCAACATAATAGAGAATCAACAATGATCATACCATTACGCAGATTGAAACTATGTCTGCAAATGTTGATACAGATTCTGGAGCGTAGAGTCCACACAACGCGGGATCTACCATTTCCTCCAGACTATTCATGTCTTTAAGTTGCGGCTTTGCCCAACGAACTAAAGACTGTTCTGGTTTTGGCCTATCACTGTATAAGATCAACACGCAAGCAAACACCATTTCAGATACTTATATAATTTTGTCTATTACATAGAAAGATCACTGTTTGATCATTGAACCTGTCATAAGGCGTTCGACCAGTTAGCAGCTCCAGCATCACCACACCAAAGCTGTAAACATCGCTCTTTTGTGTGTAAGCCGAGGGATCTGCACATTCTGGAGCATTGTATCCAACTCCAAGATTCTGACTTGTGCGCTGCAATCTCAAGAAAGAGACATTTAAATACAAATTGGACAAAACTCTTATGTCTCATCAGTACTAATTTTCAGAGGAGCTCACGTGGTGAAAGTTTGCCAAGCCATAGTCTGAGAGGTGGGGATTGAGCTCATTGTCTAGTAAAATGTTCGATGACTTAATGTTCTTGTGAACTAGCGGAGGTGAACATGCTTCATGAAGGTACCTGACATGAGATAGTTTCTCGTCAGAAAATAAAAGGAAAATAAGAGCAGCTAGTATAGCTAGTTCGATGATTCTCCTCAAATAAATGATTTAACTAATTACTCTATAGCCTGAGCAGTTCCGAGAGCGATTCGGATTCTGGTGTTCCAAGTTAATGGTTTGCTGAAATCATCAGACAGGTGAAGAAATCTGTGAAGTGATCCACTTGTGAAATACGTATAAACAAGCATATTCCGTCCTTGTTCTGAACAATAACCCACGAGTTCTGCCATATTTGGGTGGCGAATACTCGAGATATTCGACACTATGTGTGAAAACTCTTCGGGATTTCCTTTTCCTAACAGCGAAGAATCAATCTCTTTGACTGCATATTTCTGTTGAAAAAAGATGACAAGAAAGTGATCTAAAAGGACGTTTCTTGAGAAGAGTAGATGAAAAGTGACATGAAAGAAGGATAACAAACCCTTCCATCCTGATATTTAGCTTTGTAGACACGTCCAATGGTTCCTTCACCAATAAGGCGATTCGGCGAGAAACCAGATGCAGAATTCTGCAAATCCGTTAGCGCAAACGCTTTCACACCCCGTGTGTCAGGGGATTCTTCATGGTTGGAGAAACGATCAGGAGATGCAACCACTTGGTTTGAAGGTATGAGATGAAAGGTAGGAGAATTCTTGAAACTGACAGAAGAAGTTCTTTTAACGGAAGGCTTTGTCTCAAGTGAAGTATTAGAATCAACCGTCTTCTGGCCTCTAAAATCATCCATATTATCGAATTGAAGCATCTGAGAGGATTGTGGTGTGAAGAGTGGCTTGCTTCGGTTGGTTCCTCCTCCCTTCTCTTCGTCGAAAAAGTGAGAAGAATGATGAGAGTTCTTTCTTCGAGAAAACAATGCAATCACTCCTGCAAAGAAAATGAGTCCGCCTATACAAGATACTGCTATTATAACTCCAGTGGTCAAAGCCTTGCTGCTTCCAGCACCGCCTCCGGAGTTTCTGTCTATGTGACGGGTTCCAGGAGGTGGTGAGGGAGCTCTACCGTTTGACCACTTGTTTCCTCCAGTTCTGACCAAGAAATTGATAAAACAAAATCAGTGCTTCTGCATCTTTCAATTGTGTTCAAGAGAGGGTGAGAGATAAAACTAACTCAAGATTTCCAATGTTCTTTAGCTCGTTTGGGATCCAACCAGTAAACTGATTGTTTGCTACGTTTCTGTAACCGCAAGATTCATAGACAACATTAATGAAAGAAACATCTTATCTCAAGGATAAAAACACTATGTTATAGCCTGCAAAATACTTACACATCATCAATCTGAGGGAGGTCCCTGAGAGCATTTATAGAGCCTTTGAATTGGTTGTCTTGCAAGTGCCTGAAAAGATAGTGAGATGAATAACAGCACAAAGGAGTTAGATTTTAACAACTACTTGAAAGTTCTTTTTTCTCTTACAGTGTTTTAAGGCCTGTTAAATTGGCAAAACTCTGCGGTAGTTTTCCAGTGAGTTGATTGGAAGACAGATCACTGCAAAACATAAACTTGACAGAGTTAATTAAATCTATCCAAATTAGCTGCAAAAACAAATGTATGTGGCTTACATTGTTTCAAGTTTTGGAAGCTTTTGAAACATGTCGCTCAATTCACCATTGAGGTTGTTTCGACCAAGGTTTCTGAGACAAAAAAAAAACAAGAACGGATATGATGAAAATGGCATACATATGAAAAAAATATGCAAACGAGTCAATTACTGTCTTTGGCTTACAGGTAACTGAGGTCGTTCATGAGAGACACCGAGTATGGCACGTTACCATTGAAGTCATTCTCAGAGCCATCTCTGCATTATTTAAAAGTAAAAAACTCAACACATTGAAATTATGTAGCAGAGATCAACATTATGGCATTGTACTTACAGATAGGAAAGCTTCTCAGGAAGCTGGTAGGGTAAGTTTCCGTTAAGATTGTTCTTGCTTACATCACTGTTACAATGAAAAAACAGAACATGTAGCTTAATATCAACTTGAACCTGATCAAGAAGTAGAGATTAAGGAAATGTGTTGAAAATTGGGAAAATTCTCACAGGTAAGTTAGTTTCTTCAAGTTTGCTAGCTGATAACCTAATGATCCACTGAGTCCACGTCCAGATACTTTTCTAGAAAAACAGAAAGCAAAACAAAAATCAGAATTGAATGACGTGAATACCATTTGATCAGATATGAGAGGAAGTAACAAACATTTCAGTAACCGAAGAGCCCTTGCAAGTAATGCCATCCCATGAATCACCACAAGGATCACCTCCGTTCGAAGACCAGCCTTTGAGTTTTGATGGAGAGTTCATGCTCTTATAAGCGTCATTAAGAGCCGATACTACAAAAATCCATAAACATCAGGCAGGAATAACGTTGAGCCAAAGATGAAATTTAGAACCACCTCTCTGATTTCAAGATCGGATCACATTTTTTGAAGGATTGAATAACAACACTCACCATCTTGGCTATCGGTTTTTGCAAGAACAACGCAGGTGAAGATTCCAAAACATGCAATGAAGAAAAGTATTACCGCCTGCAGATTGGGCGCCATGATTGATACTTTTAAGCTCAGAAATGAAATTTTGTGAAAATGTAGAAGAGATTATCCAAAGAGAAACCCAGGGTTGGTTCCGGGTTTCCTTGGGGGCAAAGGAAACACACGAAAACCGAAGGAGAGGAAAGAAAGATGGAGCTAGATAGGTCATGAAAGAAAACTAATTTGGAAATGGTGTGGCACTAACCAAAAATGGCAAATTCAGTTTCTTCTGTTGTTTTTTTCTTTCTTTCTTTTGAATGACGTTTTTGAGTGAAAAGGCGTATAAATCTGGACGTGTGAATAGAGAAATGTACAGCTAAAAATGAAACATACACCGAAACATTAGGAGAGAGACCACAACTGTGTCCAAGTCCGATCTAACTGCAACCACACACAAACAATACCACAGTTGTTTCAACGTGTATTCAACCACTCGTGTGAAATATCAAAATAAACAAAAAGATATCAAATTGTTTCCCGCAGAAACAGGGAGAAATAACATTCAACTTGTCAACATCTATAATTATATATTTTTTTGGCCATATCCTTAGGCTTGACTCTGTAGATAGCAAGTTTTTACATTCACATTGACACAAAAATGTAAACTCTCACAGGCAGGTATACAAAAACTTTAAAGAGCTCATGTGGTCAGAGACTCAGAGCCAATGCAAAAGTAAAAAATGTCTATGACCAGTATTCACACGTTCAAACACTCCCCTATCACACAAGCTTAATCTAAGCTTAGGAATCGCAGATGCTACATCAAACAAACAAAAAATCTATGAACCACTTAAATACCAGCGTCGTGGGAAGTCTGACTCAGCGGAGCTCCACGCTTTCTCATCTTTGACAGGAAGTAAGCCAAGGCAACCTTTGCACCCAAGGCGGAGTGACCACGGGACAGACAGATTGCACCACCAACTGCACCACCCGCGAGTAACAAACCATTTGCTATCAGTTTCTTTGAAGGCTTTCTCAACAGTTTCTTTTGTTTGTCTCCTTCACCTGTTTGCAGACCACTAGTGGTAGTTCCCAAGGAGTTTGTGATGTCACTTGTCTGACTTTCTAACTCTGATGGAATCTGTTGGATAACACAAGGGTGATGAACAAACTTAAAGCACTTGACCAGAAAATTGAACTCAGATCAGATTACGACCCACTGACATCACACCTTTTTCATTAAGCTGACAGCAGATAAAGTGGACCCTTGAGGTCTATGACTTGTTACAACGTATTTACGAAGAGCATTTTCCATCTTACAAACATAGCTCCATATGCCTTTTGAAAAAGCAAGCTTTGCCATCTCAACATTTAATCCAGCATCTTCCTGATGAAACATGTGGATTTCACAAGCGTTCCTACCAGGAACTGCAGCAACTTTAATAAGTTATGCATAAACATTATGGAAGAATGAAAATTATAATTACCAGTGATAAATCTTTTACTACAGAGATTTGTGATATATGGTATTGATAAAACCCAAGAAGAAACACTTGCCTTTACTGATTCGCCAACCAGATCTGAAATAATTTACACGTACATACTTCCTTCGTTGTGGCACCATACTGTGATCACATTCCTGACAACAATAACCAAAGATCAAAATCAATACTGTGTAGCACATTCATAAAGTATTGAGGTCATCAAGAGGACTACAATTGTTCAAATGAAAAAGGTAGAAACGTTGTAATATAGAAATTATTGCTTTAGTTAAGGTAAAGCAAACATGCATAATGATCTCCTATTTAAGGTAGAAGACACATTCATAATTACCTAGTTTCAATAGCACAGTTATTAGTTCAATTACCTTGATGAAACAGTAAAACTTATCTTTCCCCTCCCACAATCTCCAAGCTAATACATACTCCCTTGGTGTCAACAAAGGAAACTTTTTTATAGTGCGACCAGTCTCAATCCCAGTAATACTATCAACCTGCAATTGCTGATGCTCAACCACAGTTTTATCCCATTGGGTCCTATACTCATTATCCATATAGAAGTCCCTCAAAACCTCTGGCGAACAGTCCTCAAACACCGTAATACTAAGGTACTTCATGGGACCACCATCCTGGAAGAAAGAAACAAAAGAATCAACTCAGTTATCAGAGAAAACAAAATCTTACTAGGCACTTAAAGGTTGAAGCTTGCTATTTACTTTTGGTTTGCAGCATTTAGCACTGTATGACACGCGAGGGTTGCTTTTCTGAATAACATCTTCCCATACCTCAGCATCTTCATTTCTTTCCCCCAGTTTCTCAATCAGGCCCTTTAGATCTTCATCAGAAACAAGTGTCGAGATTCTGCAAAACGTATAGCCCATAGATGAAAATCAAAAGAGTAGAAGGATAAGATCATACAAGGCAAACACACAGTAAAAGGAGAAGAGGCCAAAGTTTGTAAATTTGCATAGGAAATTCGAAAAACCCTTTACCCTGATTGAAAGTTCTGAGATTGAGTAATCGAGACGGCTGGGGAAGAAGTAGCAAGACTGAAGAATCGAAGTTTCCGGGAAACGAAAAATTGGTAGAGAAGAATGAAGACAAGAGCGAGGACAGTAGCCCAGCAATAACAAAAGCCTCCATCACCATCACCTCGCCGGAAAAATTTATCGGAAGAGGAGATAAATTGAGCTAACTTCGATAAGGTATCCCCACTACTCATCGTTTTCCTGAACAAAACCTTTGGAGATCGGTCCTATCAATATGGCTTTAAAGACGTTTCTATATATGCGCGCGCGTGGACTAGAACTTGGACTAGTCTGGTTCTCGTTGCTGAGTGACAAAGGCAACAACGGGTTCGAGAATATGACCTGTCCGGACTTCTTAGGACTGTTCTATATTTGATTCTTTTTGGCCCTTCGATTTTTGTTATTGTTACAATTTAGCCCCTTTTGTTTTTAATGTTATGATTTGGCCCTCTCTTGTGGACCAATGCGCTTTTAATGTGTCTACGTTACGTGCACAGGTCATACGAGATCAGATCTAGAAATATGGCATAAATAGGCTCATGGATTACTACATAGACACACCGTTTGTTAAATAAAATATATGAAAATTTGTTTCTCACTAAAATGGATAATATCGAATACAAGTGAGCCCCTTAGCCATCACATTTATGTTGGCGATCCATAACATCTCACAAAACTGAATCTGTTTTACCTTGTGGAAAGGCTCATGAAATATTTTGATACTATATTTTAACCCGCGGTACACCGCGGGGCAAACGTTTTTTCTAATTCTTATTTTATAGTATTGACATATTAACGTATAAATATTTTACCCGTTTTGACATATGAGATTAGTGAGATTTTAATTTTATAGTATTATCAATTCAAACTTGTCCCATCATATAATTTTTATAAGCATATTACAATCCATCCCGTCTTTTATCTCGTCGAGTCATATAATCGTCAAAATTTAATTCAGTTTGTTATGACAAGGTCAAGAATACATTAGTTTAAGATTGGTGAATATTAAAAATATTAATAGCACTAAAACTTTTAATTTTTTTAAAAATATTTCTAATAATTTAAACTTTATATGTACTCTACAACCAATCTCGTCGTACCACCAATCCCGTCATACCACCAATCCCGTCATATAATTCGTTGGAAGCATGTTACAACGTGACCCTTCTCGTCTTGCAACCCGTCCCGTCATTTAATCATGGAAAAATTAAGTCCATATTTAAAATTATGGCAAGATTAATAATACTATAATTTAAATTTGGTACAAATTTAAAATATAAAAAAACACTTCAACTTTTAAAATATTTTAAACTTTACATTGTATGTTGTTAATAATCATTCTAGTCTTACAACTTGTTGTTTCGTCATTCAACTTGATAATCACCGAAAAATTCAACTCATATTTAAAGTTAGGGAAAATTTAATAATACTTTAGTTTAAACTTGATGTAGAGTTAAATATTATTAACCCTTCATCTTTTAATAAGTTACAAAAGATTTATAACATTTCAAACTTTATAATATTAATAATAATTCAAATTTTATTTTATAAAAAAAAAATTTAGAATATTTAAACATTCTATAAAGCTTAAATATTTATAATATTTGAACCTCGACACCTTGTAAAAGTTTCAGTATTCATAATAATTTAAGTTTTAAAATTTGAATACTAATAATATTTTGAAACTTTTAAAAACTTTTCATATTTATCTTAATTCATATATTTTTTAAAATTACTAATTGAAAGTACATATGGGAAATGTAATGTATGTCTGTTTTAAATAATTTAAATTGCAACATATGCGAACAAATAGCTTAGAAGTCTACTATCTCTTATGTAACTTTGGAACTTATAATATGTGTGTTAAGAATACATTTTATTTTACTGAGAACTTAAAAGAATAAATATAGATTTGCCTAAAACAAATTGCCATAAGTTATAAGATTTTTCATTTTGAAGGATTAGTAGAGAATTAGCTATTCAAAAAAAATAAAAATAAAAAAAAAGTCAAACATACATAACTGACCAAACAAAAATGTTTTTCCTTATGAGGTCCCATATCACACGCTTAAAAAGCAAAATCTGATATACAATTGAGAACTTCATCCATCAAATTCAGTAATCAAAACCAACATCCATCTCTGTTGAATTGATTACCAATTCCAATCTAATGCCAATGAAGATGAGATTCAGTAATCGATATTTTCATTTTCTTTTTGGATCTCTCTCCACTGGGAAGAAGAGATGATCGATTATTGTTTAGACTGGGACGTTGCTTTGGTAAGTTTGAGATGAGAGTAATCGGAAGTATTTATAATGATTTTTAGAAACGGATGATTAGGTAACCGAATCTTCGGCGATCAAAGAGAATTTATTCTGAAAAATTAAAATTATAGAAATCATTAAATAATTGAAAGCTATAAGTGAAAAATCATTTCGAAAATCTCAGAATATTCAGCTCGCAAATCAGCTAATTTTTAGGGATCCTATAAATTAAATTTGTTGAATAATCGTGGAAACAAATTTTAGAAATATTAGAGAATAGTTATTTAAATCCAATGGCAGGACCTTGTAAATAAGTGAGATAAGTGAGGGTTTTTTCATAACTGTCTTTAAAAATGTTAATATAGATGCTATGAGTATGAACCACACAATCCAGTCTTCCTTTTGATGACAATCTCTCAATTTTCAAGTTCAATAAAAGAAATATGAAATAACAATGGATAAGGCATTTGATTGACTTTCTTTGTCACCTTCACAATCAAACTCCTAAATCTAAGATATGTGTTAGAAAAAACCCACAAAGAAACAAAACTTGGAGATGTGGAAAGCTGAGAGCTTTGAATTTGATTGATGGGTATAATCTGCAGTTTTTTTTTTTTTTTTAAACTGCCTGCAAAGATAAATGAGGCATTCCTTTACAAGAGCAACAATCTATATTGTATTTTCGTACATTATCTTCATCTTCTTCTTCTATTAACCCAGAAGAGTGAGGGTATTATAGAACATTGAAAAGAGGGAAATGAATCAACTTTTAGCTAATTACCCCAGAAGCTGAAAAGGGCGAAAAGAAGCTTACTTTACACAAAAACCAGACTTGGTCAGACGTAAAATTTCATTTGAATACCTTCTTCGAACAAACAAAATATCATATTATGGAATTGAAAACATTGTCTTTGCTAATTGATGCCTTTTACTTACTAGTTGGATTGACCGGAAGAGACCGCTGCTGTTGCTGTAATTACATCTGGGGATGAACTGGCCTTGCTTGCTTCTTTGCTCCCCTCGTCCAAGCGGACAACTTGTGCAAAACTTTTGGACATGTTCTTGATGAAATCTGTTGGCAGTCCAGCAGAAGCAGGTTTATGTTCATTATCTCCTGCTACTACTACTCCTGCCGATGGCAAGTTTGGCTGTCTTCTTGCCTTCCGGTCCTGTATAATTTTCTCCCGCTCTTCATAAAACCCGAAATCATCCAAGATTGAAGTGTCAGCATCGTAGTTCTTGAAGATCTTCAGCATCTCGATGCCCTGTTCCAGTTTTACCTGTAGTTTTTGGTTATGGTTATGGTCCGGTTTAAAAGAGATATCTTTTGGACAAGAAAGCTTGAGAAGAGAAAAATTGCTACTTACTTCTTGGGTGTCTCGACTATTAGTCACAGGCTTATTGTCATTGTTTTCCAGTATAATGTGGCGGAACTGACTGTTTGGAACATCTTTGATAATGTGCCACTTCACTGGGAACTGTCCACTCCATTTGTCCTGTTGCCAGTAATCAACGCTCTTCTCAAAATCAACTGGTCCAACCATCTCCGCTACACCACAGAATTGAGAACTCGCATTTACCTGAAATCACAACCCATAAATCATCTGCAGAAAGAAGAAGAGGACTGGATAAACCAGCTCCTTTTTATTCAGTTTTTCACTTGATCCAGGATTAGACACGTACAGAGAACAGAAGAAACAATGGACACGGTTCTTTCTCGTCCTTGGCTTCACGATAAGCAGCGTCAAGCTTTTTGTTGCCATTAGGAGTGCTAGCCCAGACGTTGTATTTAATGCTCTTGTGAACATTGTCTTCACTGTAAGACTTGATGATGAACAACTTGGCGTTATCGTAGTCGGTGATAAAGTCAGAACTGTTGTTGGATTCCTCGTGTTCCGTTGCACTGCCTTTATTATTTTTCTTAGAATCAGCAACAGAATCAAGTTCCTCTGAGACCTGAGTCTTGGGCTTTGAAGCCCTTGGTCCGCGATTTTGCTCGTTGAGGATATCAAAGGTACCATTATAACCACCACCCAGAGATGGATCGCTAACCCTTCCACGCCCTCGAGTATTGTCAACCCCGATCCAGCCTTGGTTTCCCATACCCACATTAGAAATTAGTCTAGTTCCATAGTTAGAGCCTTGGCCACGACCACCACTATGCATATAACCTTTGTTGTAAGAGTTCGAACCAGATCCAAACCCATAAAATGATCTCTGTCTCTGAGATCCCTGGAAAAATAAAAGAACAGTACCCACTTTCATCATATAGTCCAATACACAACCATTGATAGACCAAAAGTATCCATGTCTTAGATAAGAATAGCAAATAAAAGGGTGAACTAACCATGGGAATGTTCTGGCCATATGATCCAAATGAGCCAAGTGGCTGAGGAGATAAAGCTGGTGAAATCGAAGAAGAATGTCTGTGCATATCAGAAGGCTTGGACCAATCCGACCATATCCCCCCGTCAAAACCTTGCTGCCATTCAGGAAAACCAAGGTTTGGCTGGTTTCCATTAAACGGTCCAATGGGATGAGGATGGTAGGACGGGCGTGGTCCGATGTTATCACCTTGTTGGTCAACACCGACAAGGCCGGTGAGCTCGGGCTGAGTTGGAGAACTAATATATTGCATGCTAGGAGGAACTACCTGCTGGTAATACGGAGATGCCCCCGAAAATGGAAACTGCTGTGGCGAATACAACTGCCCCTCGGAAGGTAAGGGACTTGCAGCAGGAGAATATGGCCCATATGGCATTTGAGGGTTGTATCCATATCCTGTTTGGTAGACCAGAGAAGCATTCTCATTGAAGCCAACCTGATTTTATCAGAGAAATAATATGAACAATTTGAAACGTTTTAAAAAAGAAATCCCAAAGGAGATGGTAAGGGCTACATACAGGAGATGTGATGTCCAATCCTTCAACATTGACATATGAAGAGTAATCATCCCATTCCCCTGCGGGGTTTTCATAACCTAGCTCCCGAACATAGAATGTAATCCGGATTAGCTTCAAAACGACCCATAATCAGTTCAAGAACTAGAGAAGTAACAC